TTGCCAAATGACCCTTCCAAGTAGTTTGATATACGTTTGCGTACCCCCCTCTGCGAAATTGTCTAAAATCGATCGGCGCTAATTCTCCGGAGAGGTTGGGAATGGCATCATCCCAAGGTCCATTGAAAGTCTAGATCAATGGTGTTCAACTGTATTTACTGTGAGCTGGGTTTATGAGGGCTTTCATCCACCTTGGTGGGGATTATTTGGAACGCGGTATATGGAGCCGAGTAGAAGTTGAAAGTTGAAAGTACGTATATTTCGGTATCGTTACTATATGAGATAGATGGGGTGCCGTATCTGCTTTCGCACGATGCTCGTCCCTTTTCTTGCAGACAAGGTCAGGTTCAACACGAGCTAACGAGTATAGCCCAGCCGACAACACTGAACCGGGATCTCGATTCGGCCATTCCCAAGCCCTATTTTGCTTATCTCTCTTTACTATACTACTCTGATAATTTCTCTAACTCTAGTCTCAATAATATGGGAATCGGCCTAGAACAAATCCATTCTCCCCTTTCCATGTCAATCGCCCGCGCACCCTATTGGTTCCTCGCTATCATGTAAATAGCCGAGTCGGGTACGTTGGATGAACCTTACTGGTTCATCTCCGACGCTCATCCGCCTTAGTTTAAAACACCCACACCTAAAGTCAACGATGTAGTCTCGCTACGATGCATTTAATGAGGATATCACCTCCCTCGTAGTCGTTAAACTTACGCTTGAATCGACCGTTTATTATGATGACCGCAAAGTAAATAACGATCTGTACCAACTTCTTTCATAGGACTCGCCACTTTATCCGTCGAGTGAGCAGATTGCATAATAATGGATGCTCAAACGAGTCTTACTTGTGGGAAGTACTGTGCTCTTTCGAGTTTCTTCTCTCTAATAAATCAATTCTTCGAGAATGTGGCAATTCTGTGCAACAAATACAGGATAGACAAGTAGCTGGAGGGTATTACCTCTGCAGACGACGACTGGTAGATTGTCCGATTAAGCCAAGACAGAAGAGAAGCAACATCAAACGCTCAGGCGTGATAGATTGCTGGGGAGACTGAATTCCACTATCTTGTGAACGGTCGAATTCGTTCACCATCATCCTGGACGGAATAAGGTGGTTTCCCTTTCCTTCCAATGATGAAAGTGCTTTGTAAAACGATGCTTGTAAGAGGAGTCCCCGGACTGACAAATAACCAGCAAATGAATTATTGGATGGTCTGGGGAATGACGGGGAGGATGCATTTGGTTGAC